GCAGCCCCAAGGGCTCCACAGGGGCCAAGTTTTGAAGTGAGGAATTGGGGGACGGGGGCGGGACAGGAGCCGGTGCTGTCACTGTGGCTTTCCAAACACAAAGAAATAGTGGCAGTCATTTTTCATGTCCTGTAATACGCGACATTCTAAATTGGTTTCCCTGTTTATAAAGCACAATAAGGGGATATTCTCCCCATTTCTTGATACAAGTAACATGTAAGAGATTTTTAAACACAGTCAATCCTTCCTAAGCGGAAGGCTAACAATGCCCTGTCTGAACACCCTTCTGCTCTGCCCCTCCCCTCCCCTCTCTCCACCTGTGACTGCCCACAAGCACCAGAGCTGCACAAGAGCCCGAGGATGTCCGTGGTGACTAGGATCAGCGAGAGGAAGGACGAATTAACTCCAAGGGAAGGTGCGCATCTTCCTCTTCTTTGATTCCTTCCTATGATGACAACTCAACCCATCCCCTCCCCCGTCTGTAGCCACAGGAACCAAGGCAGAATTCTCAGTCTTCCTCTTTCCAAGATGGGCCACCCGTACCAGCTGACAGGTTAGACTCCAACATGCTTGAACCACAATCAGACACCGCTCCAAGCACTCAGACACAGCTCCAGGCACCTTCCTCACTCTCCCCAGTCCCCTCAAGGGCTTCTGTTCTCTCAAGATGCAAACTGGCTGACGCCACCATCATTCTCAGAAGCGATGTTAACTGCAATGGCTATGCCTATGCAAATCCTTAATCGATTAAGAAAGCCAAAACTACGTGATTAAGTCGGATCAGAACTTAATTTCTTGATGTTCAAAGTACTAGACTCCACAGTAAACATGTGTTTAAGACATTTAAAGGCAAACTGAAACAAACTAGGCACACAAATCTTTCACAACTGCCTACCATGGAGATAATGTGGCACTGACATTCACATTAATGCCCAATAATATCAGGCAGGACTCATCAACACTGAAAAATTGGTCTTTGTATTCCATCGTGTCATTTGTTTACCTTTAGTCAGGAACGTCTCTTAGAAACGAAATATGGAAAGAGGGACCTGTTTTTAAAAAAACAGCCATGAAGGCTTTGCCAGCATTTACCGTTTTTTTCCAATGTCCTGGCACAACTTGTTCTCTGGGCATTTGGGAAACTACTGAATACCTCAATCAAGGGACTAATTGCAGTTCTATGGATTTTCGAAGCCGTCCTCTCAACTTGAAAAACATACTGATTTTCCCTATGAGTCATTTTGTACTGCCAACACCCGATTTTACCAAAGTGGAATCCGGTACTGCACAGACAGACCCCACACGTGGATGCATTCAAATCAAATTCCTGCATTTCAAACAGTTTTTGAGCACCTGGGCTTTAAGGGAAAGTTATCCCCGAAGGTATCAAATTCCTGCATTTCAAACAGTTTTTGAGCACCTGGGCTTTAAGGGAAAGTTATCCCCGAAGGTTACATGAGATATGGAGTAGTGACCACGTGGCACAGGTCCTGGCACTGTTCCTAATTTTCCAACTGTAGCGTCCAAATCCATGGCATTAAGATTCTGTAGGTGATTACGGGTTACACATGCACACCAGTGGGCAGCAAGCAAGGGGGCACATGGCAGAGCAAACCTGCCAAGGGGTGCACTCTCATCGCCTAGCAATCCAGCAGGCGACCTAGACACGGTCAGCGGGTCCTGCAGAACTTGCAGGAACGGACAGAACCGACCGGAGCGAGTGGACCACTGGCCTGCACTGACGCTGACACCCCACACCAGCTCCTCACCCGCCTGACGCTGGGGTGCACAATTTTTGTTTGTTCTGTCCCCAAGACACTACACCAAACTTAAAAAAAAAAAAAAAAAAAGAGCCAAGGTCACTTAAACTGACAACGCAACAGCACCCTCACAACCTCCGGTCTCTACAATGCTTCCACGGCCTCGGCCACGCACCGTTCACGAGGAAACACGGAGAGCGTGCGTGCACCACAGCGACCACGCAAACCCAGCACCCGTGCGCCCGCGGGACGGACAGCTAGCCACTCCGGGCGAACCCGAGCGCGGGGCAACCCCCGCACACCGGGACCCCGCCGCACGGCGGGGGCGGGACGAGGCGCCCCCTCCCGGGACCGCCCAGGCCGCGCCACTTCCCGCCCGGCCCCGGCGGAGGCGCCGCGCGCGCGCGCACGCGGGCCGCATCCACGTGCACCCCCGGCGCCCCGGGACGCCCGCCCGCCCGCGGGCCCGGGACGCGGGGGTCGGCCGGGGCGGGGCGGCGCCGCGGGGGAGGGAAAGGAGCCCGGCTCCACTCACGCGCCCGGGGGCGGCACCGGGGCCGTCGCTGCGTCGCTCGCGTTTAAAAACTGAAAAGGGTGGGGAAGCGGGAGGGGAGGGGAGAAGAAAAGGGAAAAAAAAAAAAAAAAAAAAAAAGACCTGGCTCCTCGTTTCATCCGGAAACCGACGGGCCGGCAGGAAATGACGAAAGGCAGAGGTCGTCCGGGTCCGCTCGGCAACCGGTCCCCGCGCGCTCGGCCGCGACTGCGGGGAAAAGCGCGCCCGAGCGGAGCAGCGCGGGCCGCGGGCCGCGTCCGGAGCGAGCAGCGTGAGTGGCCGCGGCCCCCGCGCCGCCCGGTGCCGGCGGCGGCGTCACCGCGGCCCCGCCCCGGCCCGCCCGCACCCGCGGGGGAGGGGCTGGACAGAGCCCGGCACCGGACCCGACCGCGGCGGGAGCGAGGCTGCGCGGGCCGGGGCCGCGGGCGGCGGCGGCGGAGGGCCGCGCTTTATACGCGCCCGCCCCGCAGGCGCGGGTCCCCCGGGCCGGGGCCGCGCGGCCGGAGGAGGGCAGGTGTGGGCGTCAGGTGTGCGTGCGCGCGCGCGCGCGCCCGGGGGTGCCCGCGCCAGTGACGTCAGCGCCGCCATACCGGGCGCCCGGGCCGGGCGGGCTGCGTTCTCCTCAGGGCGGGGGTGGAGAGGCTCGGACTGCCGGGTTTTTCCAGAGCGGGTTTTATATAAAGACGGCACAGGTGGCTCCAGCCCGAGTTTCTGTCAGAAAAGAAGGTTCTCGATGGGAGACCAAATGGAGGCTGCTCACGGATAACGGGTCCAGGAGCCCCCAGCTGCTGAGGGTGGAACCCCGGGGTCCCCCACCCCCGAAAAGCGCGGCCCTCAGGCCGAAACCCAGCCCCGGTGGCCAACGCTTTGACATCTCCCCAGAGCGTCCAGTTTACTCGGGGGCGTAACACAGGTCATCCTGGCATCTCCTGGCTTGACAGGAAACCAAAAAAAAAATTAAAAAGTGGGAAAAGGTCAGTTTTCTCGAAAGAGCTGCAAGTGACACTCCCCAGCGCGTGACCGGTTGTGCTGGCGATCCTGCTGCTGAAACATTAACCTGACAGGAGTGACCGTGGTGACACCCCTGGGCTAAGCCTGGGACGCCACAGGAGGGCCTTGGTGGTATGCGGTGTGGTCACCGGGCGTAGGTGTGTGTGCGCACATGCTGGACCAAAGTTCAGGCCGCAAGTGGGCCACAGGTCTGGACTAGGGCTCCGGACTAAACCGGTCCTCATTCTTGGCAGCCTTGGAACAGTCATGCCCCGGAGTCGTGCATGGTTGTGGACTGCGCAGGAGAGGCCTATCCTGGGTGCAAATCTTTCACAACCACGCTGCTAAAAATAACTCTAGCGCATGTCCCTGGAATAAAAGTAGTGTCATCGCATACCAGTCACGTTGTATAATAGTGCGTTGTATAGTTCAAGTGAAAACATCACGGTTCTGGATCAGCAGGAATTAGACATCCTTTTCCAAATAGAATTAAAGACTGGCGTGTTTGCGGCAGGAGGAAGTGCAGCTCAGGGGATGAGCATATACCACTCACTGAGTGGCGTATGAGCAAGAAAGTAGCCCGGTTCCTATCCATTCAGACATTAGAGAATAGGGAAGACTTCTGTGATTTGTCAGATGAGTGGCACCTGCGAAGTGTCTGAGACCAGAGCTGTCTTGTCCACTGTTACACCCAAATGCTGTGCTGAAAGTCTCATCCCTGCCCCATAATGATCCTGGACCTTCGGAAGTATTTCAAAGCAGATACTGGAAGACCAATTTTTTTAAAGCCAAATCTGGCCATTGTTCCTGCATGTACATTTGACACCTGCCGAGTTGGAGATCCTGTAACTTGCAGCTGGATGTACGGTCTGCCCTTCCACAAGTAGCCGTCTTCTAAAGTAGGCTGATGAATGCAGTTGGACCAGGAGTAAGAACTGAAACTGTGGTTAGACTTCATGTCCCTGTGCCTCCCGCTCTGAAAAAAGCTAAGAAACCCATAGCTTGTCCAAAAATCTAGGATTTGAGTAGTGTTTAAATATGTAGATCATGGATCTGTAACTTGTAAAAGTTTATGTTCCCTTGCTAATTTCGTGAGACCTGTCTTTGTATTCCTATCAGACACCAGTAGGTGTTTTAGAGAGAACGCTCCTTCTCTCCGTGTCAGGAGTTTAAGTTAAACACTTTTGCCAGCACTCTCTGTAAATGAACACAGGGCACCTGTGGGTCCTCAGCTGCCAGTACAGAGAGAACGTACCACGTGGCTTAGCCCCCGGCCTTTCCTGCAGTGTCGCTGTTCTCAGGCCAGAAGAAAGCAAGTTCCGCAACCGTCCAGTTGGACTCACAGCCGAAGCTATGTGCACAAGAGTCCTGGGGTCTCACTGGATGCACCGCTTGATCTGCAGGGCCTTCACTATTGTGAATGGCCTAGAAGCTTGCAGAATAACTTCTTGGACTTTGCAGAGACTTTTTTTTTCCTCGGTACTAGGAAATGACTGTCTCATTCTTAGATAACACAGTACAGTTATCACCTATCATTTGTTCAGATTTTTTTCTTTTTATAGAATGAAAGCCACATTTCACGCATTTCTTTCGCCTCTTAGGTCATTTTACCTCGACTTACCTTTAAGGTCCAACTTATCTGCTATATCCTGTACTTTCTCATGAAGGAAAATTCCATTCACTTCTGAAACGTAAATAAGACATCCTTACTCTCCTATCTGTTGTTTGACAGCATTTGATATTACCACTCTTAGTTGTCTGTGGGAATGTCCCAAGAATGCATTTCCTTTAAGAGAGAGCGCAGCTGTGTAAATAGCAAAAAGTAGCTTTTTATCCCATGGCCTCCTTGGAGCAGACTGCACTAGATAAGGCCCTCAGAGCAGCCAGTGGAGGGTTCTGGGGAAGAGGATTGTGGCCCCATCCTTGCTCCTCTGGGCCACTCCCGGCCAACCTTGCTCTCCCTGCATCACAGCCAATTGTTCCAGTTCACGTTGTAAAGTATTCTGGGGCTTTTATCTGGGTGACAGTTCTAACTTGGAAACAGCAATGTTACATTTTGACCTGTGTCCCTTAGGTAGACTGTGGTTTCTTCTCCTACCTTCATGTGGGACCTGTGACATTTCACAGTGAATAATGAGGGGGAATGTGTTATGTGCATCTTTATGGGCCAGATTGAAAACAATTTGATGCTTTGGGGCTATATTAGGTAGTTACAACCATTGAAGGTGGACCAATGTAAAACTGTCTCTGGATTACTGGAGACGAGCTGTGGTGTCTGGATCTGGCCAGCAGGTCCTCTAATTGCCAGCCCTCTTCAGATGGTCACACTGTCACCCTGACTCCCTGTCTCTCTCTTAGCCCATGGCTGCCAGTTTCGGAGTGATGGGTGACGACGGCTCTATTGATTACACGGTACATGAGGCCTGGAACGAAGCCACCAACGTCTACTTGATAGTGATCTTGGTCAGCTTTGGTCTCTTCATGTATGCCAAGAGGTAGGTTTTTCAGTCCTGAAAAATTCAGTAGGAAACTTTTTGGAATCTGAACAGAATGCATAAAATTCCTTTATCAGAATTTTTGTTGTGCTCTGTCTGCGCTGTCTCTACTAGTCTCTCTTCAAGCCCAGGTGGCTGAGGTAGGCCTTTGAAAACCCCATTGTTGGCGTTGCAATCCAGCAGGTTAAGCTACCACCTGTGATGCTGGCATCCCCTGTGAGTGCCAGTTCGAGTCCCAGCTGCTCCACTTGCAATCCAGCTCCCTGCTGATGCAGCACCTGGGAAGGCAGTAGAAGATGAACCAAGTGCTTGAACCCCTACACCCATGTGGGGGACCAGGTGGAGTTCTAGGCTCCCAGTGTCAGCTTGGTCCAGTCCAGACCATTGTGGCCATTTGGAGGGTGAACTGGCAAATGGAAGATTTTCCTCTGTAACTTTGCTTTTCATATAAGTAAGTCAACCTTTGGAAAAAAAGAAGAAGAAAAATCCCATTGCATTAGGAGAGGAGGATGTGAGTACAGCTCTTGGCACCTGGGCCAGCTACTCCAAACTCCCGAATCTCATTTCTACTGTAGCCCAGTTCCCGGCCCATTCTCACTGTCACCCTATGATGAGCACAATTTTTTTTTTTTTTTGGCCCAAGTCCCTGAGATGCAGAAATTAGAGATACTAACTTATGTATCCAGCATATCTCTCTGCCCAGCTTAAGCTCTTCCTGTTTCGCGCGCAGGACGTTACCACAGCGCTTATTAAACCGTATTAGTCTTATCTGATCACTTGTCTGTCTGTCCCACGGAAACTCTTGGCACTTCAGAACAAGGACCTTGTCTTTCACCTTTGTGCCCTGGGTGTGCCATGTGCATAAATCCTCAATAATTGTGCCCTTCCAGACATTGTAGCATAATTCATCCCAACTTTCTCTTCCGTGCTCCCTGCCTCCCTTCTCATACATATAATTTTTTTAATAAAGAGTATTTTATAGAGAAAAGCAGTATTAGTTGGACTGACTTGTTTCTGCTTACAACTATGTACTTTATGATGTCCACTGTAGTTCAAAACAATGAGTAATCCAGACCGAATTTAGATTTGGCCTGGGGGTGGTGTCTTTCCTGGCCCTTGGCCCCTGGGACTCGGGAGGGTGATGGTGAGAGAAACCCTGAACATCATCACCGAGCCACTTGCACAGAACAGCTTTCTTCACAGCACAGCTGCTGCCTCCTCCCCTCTTGTCTGTTATAAGCAGAGGCACGCTGTTCTTTTGAATTTTTATTTATTTACTTGAGAGACAGAGCGCTCACATCCACTAGTTTTTCATTCCCCAAATGCTTGCAAGGGACCAGGGCCGAGAACTCAATCCAGATCTCCCATAAAAGTGGCAAGGAACCCAGCCACTTGCGCTATCGCCACTGCCTCCTAGGGTCTGTGTTAGCAGGAAGCTGCAGTTAGGCATAGAGCTGGGAGTCGATTCCAGACACCTCATTGTGAGTGCTGGTGTCTTAACTCACACCCTAACTACCAGGGCAAACACCTGCTCCCTTAATCGTAACAGGGTGCACCTGTAATGCCAGTCTGTTGTAGTTAAGATATATTCATTATTTTCAAAAGTGAAGGGCTGCTCACACTCGGTTTGTTCTCGCACCCTAGTACTTCAGCTTCCCTTAGATGACACGGGATGGAAGAGACATGAGATGTTCTCTCAGTTGCACGTCTTGCTGCGCAGTATCTGCCTATGAGGAGGTTTGGGAAAGCCAGGGTGGACGCACCTCCTTTTGTTGTGGGAAATGGATATGTTCAGCCACTTATGGCCCTTTGGCTGTATACATGGAGCCTCAGCATTGTTTTTAAAGTATTTTTCTCTTTATCAGAAAGGCAGAGAGACAGACATACAGAAAGGGATCTCCCATCTGCTGGTTCACGCCTCCAAATGGCCGCAACAGCCAGGGACAGGCCAGGCCCAAGCCAGTCGTCCCCAACTCGATCCGAGTCTCCCACTTGAGTGGCAAGGACCTAAGTACTTCAGCCACCACCTGCAAGAAACTTAAATTAGCGGAGCCTGAACGCCAACCCAGGTGTTCCAGTTTGGGATGTGGATGTCAAAAGTGGCAAATTAAATGCTGTACTGAATACGCATTCCCCTCATGTTTTATTTTTTATTTTTAAAATATTTATTTATTCGCCAGCGCCGCGGCTCACTAGGCTAATCCTCCGCCTTGCGGCGCCGGCACACCGGGTTCTAGTCCTGGTCGGGGCACCAGATTCTGTCCCGGTTGCCCCTCTTCCAGGCCAGCTCTCTGCTGTGGCCAGGGAGTGCAGTGGAGGATGGCCCAAGTGCTTGGGCCCTGCACCCCATGGGAGACCAGGAAAAGCACCTGGCTCCTGGCTTCGGATCAGCGCAATACGCCAGCTGCAGCGCACCGGCCGCGGCGGCCATTGGAGGGTGAACCAACAGCAAAAAGGAAGACCTTTCTCTCTCTCTCTCTCACTGTCTACTCTGCCTTTCAAAAATAAAAAAAAAATAAAAAAGTATTTATTTATTTATTTGAAAGGCGGTTTTAGAGGCAGAGGGAGAGAGAGGTCTGATTCACTCCCCAGATGGCCGCAATGGCTGGAGCTGAGCCGATCCGAAGCCAGGAGGCAGGACCAGGTCTCCCACCTGGGCTCAGGGGCCCAAAGACTTGGGCCATCTTCCACTGCCTTCCCAGGCCAAGCAGAGAGCGGATTAGAAGTGGAACAGCCGGGACTCAAACCCATTTGGGATGCCAGCGCTGCAAGCAGCAAAGCTGCTAAACCACAGTGCTATCCCCCAACCCATACATTTTAGTGAAAGGAGTACTTGGGCCAAGGAAGTATCTCACAGAGACAAAATAGAAAATAAAAGAGTCTTATTGTCATTTAAGTCCTTGCCTTGTCATGGAGCTCCTGATTGTGGTTCATAAAATATTCTAATCATACAGACATTGATACAAATCTCTCCTGCACTGATTTTGTGTTTTAGGAATAAAAGAAAAATAATGAGGATATTCAGCGTGCCTCCTACAGAAGAAGCTTCATCAGAGCCCAACTTTTATGACACAATCAGCAAAATCCGTTTAAGACAACAACTAGAGATGTATTCCATTTGTAAGTATATTATGTGCTGAATTGTATACACAAGCATGTTTACAATCAATATTCTGATACTGACTCCATTTAGCAAAAGGTCACCAAAAATAGTTATAGGGCCAGCATTTGGTTAAATTTAAGCCAAACTTAAAACTTAAAACTCTGCTTGGGACTCCCCCATCCCATATCAGAGTGCCTGGTCCAAGGCCTGGCTCCTGTGCTTTTGATCCAGCTTCCTGCTAATATGCATTCTCAGAGGCGTGACTCAGGTACTTGGGTTCTGCCCCCACACGGGAGACCTGGGTGGAATTCTGGGCTTCTGGGTTCAGTCTGGCTTAGCCACACCTGTTGTAGGTATTTGGCAAGTGAACCAGCAGATGGAAGATCTCTCTACCTCTCTCTCTCTCTCATTCTCTCTCTCTCTCTCTCTCTCTGCCTTTCAAATAAGATGAAAATTGATAAATAAAAGTTAAGTAACAAAGCATCATCCTGCAGTTGTGTGGGTTGGACATCCCGAGCAGTGCCCCCAGGGTAAGGCGCAGTGCCCGAGTTCCCTCTCTCTGGAGCCTCCGGGGAGGAACAGCTGCTTTGCCCTTCCCGCTCCCAGAGGGCCCCGTGTGCCCTTCTCACTCCCAGAGGGCCCCGTGTGCCCTTCCTGCTCCCAGAGGGCCCCGTGTTCCTCGGCTCCTGGTCCCCTCCCCTGTCTTCAGAGCCAGCTGCATTGCGCTTCTCTGACTGTCTCCCTGCCTCTGGGAACCTAGTGAGGAAAGCTTGTCTGACTAAGGCCCGTGTGATTCATCTGAGCCAGGTAATCCTGAGTAATCTCCCCATCTCAAGGGCTTTACCTTAATCACATCTTCGAAGTCCCTTTGCCCTGTCAGCTAGGGTGTTCCCAGGTTGTGGGGATTGGCATGTGGCCATCAAGTGGGGGGCCATTATTCTTAGGAACAGGTGTGATGGATCCACACATTTAATGAATCCCAGCATAGTGGATCTTTCTTAGTACTTGTGACATGTCCTGTCTGGCAGAGTCTGGCCGTTGAAGAGAGAATTCCAAACAGAATTCTTGTTTCTTAAAGAGGACTCCCAAGCTTAAGGCACGAAGACCCAGATCCACCCTGAGCAGCAGCCACAATAGTATCCCTTTCTTGGCAAGTGAAAATGTAAAAGTTGAAACTGAAGTTTTCAAGCAAAGCAGCCAGTAACATTCACAAGGATTTTTAGACCCGTGTTGTTTTTTACTTTTTTAGTTTCAGGTTAAGATTTTTTTTGTCAATAAACGTTTTTTAGAAGTACAAAAAGAAGTACATTGTTCCTCACTCAAGGTAAGAAAAGGGAGTAGAAAGAAGAACATCACAAAGCATTCATTTTAAAAGCTTGATTAATGTTTACCGTGTATTTTACAGCTCTGAATAATCCTGATAGACAAATAATAATGATAAAGCAAACATAGAAAATGGGTATCAGCAGTGTGGACAAATAAGAGGATCATAAAGTGCCATAAATTCCCTCTATAGAAATAAAGTAATTCTAAACCACTTCCGTCCTAAGGCTCATGGCCTGACGGTGCTTCAGTAGTGTTGGCTAGTGATTGCTTTTGCCTTTTACTAATGTGCTCTCTTCTTCTCCCCGTTGTGTTTTTGATAGCAAGGAAGTATGAATATCAGCAGCCACAGAGCCAGGCTGACAGCGTGCAGCTTGTGTTGGAATGAGGCCTTGGAGCAGCAACGGGGAGTTGTTAAACAGCATGGCAGGGAGCTCCAGCTCCCTCTACTAAGCCGTGAGCAGCATTGTAAGAACTTGCATCTGCCTGCGTAAAATCATTTCACTTGAGACTGCCCATGTGTTTGGGGTGTGTGTGTGTGTGTGTGTGTGTGCTCAGTTTTACTGTTTCAGATTTGCATCTGCCAGCCATCTGTTAGACAAATACAGCTGGCTCAGAGGGCCTGAACACTGGGAGCCACACATGGCCAGGAAGATGCAGCAGCCACACGCAGAGCCCGCGGCGGGAGCACCCTCAGACTCTACAGCATAGTCGATCCGTAATAGAAGCATCTTTGGATGCAAGAATCCTGGAGCTTATGCCACTTAGATTAGAATATATTTTATAAAATTAAAAAAAAACGCAAGTCCAGCCATCGGAATAACTTCTGAGATTCTGTTCTGTGATAACTGTATCCGTAGCAGACTGATTTGTGTTCTCACTGCTGCTGGTGATGACTGATTGTATCCGTGATCCTCAGAACGCGCACGCGCACTGTCTTCCTACATCACAGAGCACCCCCTCTGCTCATTTTAGAAGCCCTCTGTAACTGGATTTTTTCCTTCTGTAAATGTGATCCTGGGAGTTTCTGTTTTGTTTTTTAATCCCTTAGTTTAATTTCTGCCAGATGGATCTTCTTCAGAAGTGGACACTCCTGTATTGGTGTTGGCAACTTGCTTTTCGGTCAATGTATCATCATTGTTTAATGTTACTATCTGGTTACTGCTACGCCTTTAACATGATAAGCTTTTCTGAAGATTTTCAGGTCTTGTCCCATTTTGTGCTATACAAAAAATGATTTTTTTTTAATTTAAATAAAAGTGACTAGAGATACTTGTAGGAAGTTCAACTGTCAATCAGTTTTTCAAGTAAAACTATTCTTAATTCTAAAAGTTAATCATTTCAAGTATTATTTGCTTTTCTCTTTATTACTGTGAAATCGAAGAATATAAATTTTAAATGAAAATTAAGGTTTAGGCCAAATAAAATTATTCAAGGAATTTGAATTTACTTTTAAAATGTATATAATTTGGGGCTGGCATTGTGGTGTAGTGGATAAAGCCACTGCCTGTGATCCAGCATGCCAGATGGGAGCTGGTTTGTATCTCAGCTGGTCCTCTTCCAATCTAGCTCCCTGCTAATGGCCTGGGGAAAGCAGCAGAGGATAGCCCACGTGTTTGGGCTATTGCCACCCAAATGGGGAAGACCCAGATGAAGCTCCTGACTCCTGGCTTTGGCTTGCCCTAGCCCTGGTCATTATGGTCATCTGGGTAGTGAACCTGCTGATGGAAGATTCTCTCTCTGTTTCTCCCTAACTCAGTCAGATAAATTAAAAAAAAATGAAGTTTATATAATTGAAAAATGTGTATAGTATATATAAGTGCTTCCAGAAGTTCATGGAAATGTGTGTTAGGAAAAAACTGTGTGTACATTTCAACATTTTCTGGCACCAAAACCTAGCTTTGAATTCCATATTCCCACCAACTTTCTGAAACCTCCTCTTAACTGCGCAAGGTGCATTGCTGCCCAAGTGTGCTAACACAAATGAGTTTGAAGGCACCACCTACACCTGGAGTTAAACACTGACTGCAGGGAGGTAAACTGCTGTAATTGTGGGCTGGAGGCTGCAGGGCTACAAGGGGGCAGTCTCTCCAGCTCTCCAGCTCTGCTCAGGAGGAGGAGCACTGCATACTGTGTGGGCAGAGAAGTGAATCAGGAGCGGAGTGGTTCACTTGTCACTGGCATGCCACACACCCTGCACCTGGTGCGAAAACACAGGCCGGTTTCTAAAAACAGTGCATGCCAATAAACGCCCATCACAGTGAAACTAATTGTCTTATTTGCATCCACTGGAACGAGACAGCCCTCAGTAAAAGCTGGCAGGCATTTGGTGAGCAAGTGAGGCACGACGCCTTCTTCTCTAAAGTTGACCCAGGGGAACCACGCACACCTACACTGGCTGGGACCCCCATCTCTCCCTGGCTTCAGCTGCCGAGCCGGAAAAGAAAGCCCTGTAGCCAGCCCTCAAATTGCTACAGGCAGGCTGGCCACCGTGGAGTCAGTAGCCCTGTTTTCCTTAGGAGGCAACGTGGAGTGGCTGATGAGCTGGTGGTGAACACTCCTGGGCTCCTTTCCTATGCCTGAGACTTGAGCGTGTGGAGTACTGCGCTGCTTTTGCGGATGCCGGCCCCAGCCGCACGGAGCCAGGTGTTTGCTTTTGGCCGCACGCTGTGGCAGGCCAAGTGATTCGTTGGAAAATGAGACGCAGGCACCGTGGTGAGATTGCTGTCACATCAGAAGTTGCCTGGGTGTGAAGCAGAGATGAGAGAAGGTAGTGGTGGTGATAAGAAGTAGTTTCGGGTATTAAAATGATATAAGAATAGATTTACCTAGAAAACCTAAGTAAAGAGAGAAGGGACCCGAGCAACTCATTCAACAAACAGGTTGTTGGGGCCTGTGTGGAGGCGCAGCAGGCGAAGCTGACAGCTGGACACGGGCATCCTGCAGGAGTGCAGGGTCTAGTCCCAGCCGCTCTGCTATAAGGCAAAGCCAGTGTCCTCCCTCTCCTTGGTGTTGTTCCTGTTCATCCTCTAAAGACTGTGGGAGGCGCAGGTGCAGGAGGAGGAGTCAAGGGCAGTGCTTAGCACTACAGCAGTGAGACCAACAGACCCCGCCCTTCTGTTGCACACGTGACCTCTAACCCCAAATAAAGGAGTGGTATTTTGTGTTGGATTCTAGGCTAAAGTAGTCCCTAGTTTTGTTTTTTTGTTTTTTTAACTTAGCTGTAGTGAGAAACTAAATGTGCCCATGTGACAAAGGGAGGCCATTGACTGGCTAGATTCAGGGATGGGGCGGGGGGTTGTTCAGCCCCAGATTTGATGCCAAAGGAGCATTGCTTTGTGCCCTGATGTTTGTAGCTCCAGTTTCAGATACATGGAAGAGGTCTCATTGTTACGAAAGAGTGGTTTCATCGCTGGGATCTTTATAAAAATGTGTTTTGACCGACTGCAGACTAGCTGAAGAAAGTTGGGGATTTCGAACTGCAAGCAGCTCGGTGGGGTTACACTCGTGTGCAAACGGTTCTGGCCACAGAAATCCGAAATTCTTGAGAAAGTGTGCCACAGAAATGTCGGGTATTTACAAGACAGCAAATAAGTATATGCTTTATTCTTTTGTGGGTGAGGGTAGGGAAAGAGAGGGTGGTAATGTCTCTGAATAACAGTTTTATTTTGAGGTTTAAAAATCCAGGCCTGTGTGAGCTGGCTGCAATTTAATAGAACTCTCCTGCTTTCAGCACAGTAACTAGCCCAAAGTAAATGCTCATTAAATACTTGGTAACTTACTTGTAACCGTTTATAGAATCGACGGCTTAATTTTCGTGTTTTTAAGAATGCTTGTAGGAGGTGGGTGTTCAGCTCAGCGGCTAAGACACTCGCATCCCAAGTGGGAGTGCCTGGGTTAATCCCTAGCTTTAGCACCTGTCTCGCATCTGCTGGTTCTCTCCCAGAATGGCTCCAACAGCTAGGGACTTCCAGGTCTGCCTTGTGGGTACAGGGGCCCAAACACATCTTCCACTGCTTCCCAGGCACCTTAGCAGGGAGCTGGATCACAAGCTGAGCAGCCGGTGATGTTGCTGTCCCAAGCAGTGCCCTAACCTGTTGTACTACAATGCCAATGCCCAGGAACTCAGATTTAAGCAAACTGTGGGTCTAATGAATGAATGAACAGGTTGGGAGAGGCAGATAGAGCAAGCGGGCGCTTTTATCAAGTGGGAATAAAAAGCATACAGGGCTGTTTTGTATTATTGCAACTTTTCTATAAGCTTGAGCATTTTTGTTTTTCAGTCATAGAAAGCATGTTGATAAATCAATTTTTTAGTAAACCAGATCTTATTTTTGTGTCATACTTCAGCAAAACTGTTTTTTTAAAGAATTTATTTACTCATTTGAAACACAGAGTTGAAGGAGGGGAGAGAGAGAGAGAGAGAGAGAGAGAGAGAGAGAGAGATACAGGGAGAGAATCTTCTATCCACTGGTTTCACTGCCCAAATGGTTGAAATGACCAGGGCTGGGCAGGCTGAAGCCAGGAGCTCCTTCCGGGTCTCCCATGTGGGTGCAGGGACCCACACACCTAGGCCATCCATCCTCCACTGCTTTCCCAGGCACATTAGCAAAAAGCTGGATCTTCCAAAAGGGGCTCGGAACCACGCCAGCTCAAAGCCGTGAATGATGGATGTCTGGAACATTTCAACCGAGAACACCTTCAACTGCATGTGAAACTGTCGGACGCGAAAGAGCAGAAGCTGGGGCCAGCGCTGAGGTGTAGCGGGTGAAGCTGCCGCTTGATGCCAGGATCCCCTGCGGACCCCGGTTCCTGTCCTGGCTGCTCCCTGCTGATAGCTTGGGAAAGCAGTGGAAGATGATGCAAGTGCTGCGCCCCCGCACCCACTTGAGAGACCCTGTGGAGCTCCTCACTCCTGGCTTCAGCCCGGCCCAGCCCCAGCTGTTGTGGCCATTTGGGGAGTGAACCAGCAGATGGAAGATGTCTCTCTCTGTTTCTCCATCTCTCTCTCTTACTCTGCCTTTCAAACAAATGAAGCTTTAAAAAATAAAATAAAAAATAAAAACCTCACACAGATAGTAATTTAAAAAATTGACTCCCTTTCCTCTGGTGTCAAGTTCTTTTTTTTTTTTTTTTTTTTTTTTGACCCATTGTAGTACCTTGCATATAGTAGAGGCTTAACAAATATTTACTTAATTTAATTGGTTTGAATCCAGTGTTACTGCTATCCAGCAAAACACACCCTATGAATTAACCACATTCTAATAATTTTTAATTTTTTTCCAACACAAAAAAGAGCAACAGCATTCTATCATTCTTTCTGCTTTTTGGTGGCACAGCAGTACACTTTGTAAAAGTAGTTCTGTCCCAACCACATACATGACACCCTCCAGAACACACAAAAAAGGGAGGGAAGATTTTCCCCCCCAAAATTTTTCAGAGCACAGTATTTGTAATTGATTTTTAAGGAGGTATACTTTTTTAAAATATATAGGATTATTCTTCAAAAGCATCTAGCAATTAACTTTTTTTAAGATTTATTTATTTTATTTGAAAGACAGAGTTACAGAGAGGCAGAGGAAGAGAGAGAGGTCTTCCATCTGCTGGTTCACTCCCGAGATGGCCACAATGGCTGGAGCTGCGCTGATTTGAAGCCAGGAGCCAGGAGCTTCTTCGGGCCTCCTGTGTGGGTGCAGGGGCCCAAGCACTTGGGCCATCCTGCACTGCTTTCCCAGGCCATAGCAGAGAGCTGGATTGGAAGCAGCCGGGACTTGAACTGGCACCCATGTGGGATGCCGGCACTGCAGGTGGTGGCTCTACCCATTATGCCACAGTGCTGCCACAGCACCAGCCCCAGAACAGCACATTCTGAAGCTTGTCCAATCACCATTCTCCACAATTGACCGTGCTTCAGCCAAGTCTAATAAGCCATTACTGCTTTGGATATCAGGAGCACATCAACCAACCCCCCATCATTGATTGGAAGCTTGCTACAGCCCAAGGCACTGCAGCCTCACTGGCCCGGCTGCTTGCACCTTTTTTTTTTGAGCTGGAAGGAATTGCCCCTTCTCTTTCTTGAAAGTCATCAAACTTAGCCCCTCTTTTTGTCTCCCACACCTGTGGCGTTTTCCACAGGCGACTGCAGAGTGGATTTTATTCTGAGGACAGATTTTCATTTCTTTACAAATTATAAAGGAATTGGGGCCAGAGTAGTAGGACAGTGGGTTAAGCCACCACCCGCAGTGCTGGCATCCCATTTCAGAGTGCTGGTTCGAGTC